GCAACAGTTTCTCCATAAGATCACGCTACGCTACTCCCACCCACCTCCAAACCATTACAGAGGGGAGCGAGTGAAGCGACCGCGCCTGGTCGACGGGCTTTTTTTCCCACCCCCGTTATAAGATTACGCTAAGCTCCTCCTAACCAGTACAGAGGAGGGCGAGCGAAGCGAGCGCGCTCGGGCAACGTTTCGAAATTCGCACGAATTTGATTCATTTCATTTCATAAAATTTTATTCAAAATTATTTTGTAAACCTATCAGGAATCTAAATATTAGTACGTTACGTTACCTTTTGTACACTCTGTATATAAATTTCGACTTATACGTTAACATTTAAAATTTCTCAATATTTCTTGATTAAAAAAATGTTTAGATAACATGGCCATAGTATTTAAATTTATTACCTATTACTTGCCTATTTATATACTTTTATAATTTTTAAATGTGTTTAATTATCTTTCTTTTGAATTTAAAAATGTTTGAAAGTCATAATTTAATGTAAAATGATGGTTTTCACCTTATCGAGACTGGGGACCACAAGGGTAAACTCGTAGTGTAAAAAAAAAAACAAGAAATGATTTAACTTCAAACCACTACAAAGGAGAGCGAGTGAAGCGACCGCGCCTTGCCAACACGCCTTTTTTTCCCACCCACATTATAAGATTACGCTAAGCTCCTTCCGCCCACCTCCTAACCAGTACAGAGCAGGGCGAGCGAAGCGAGCACGCCCGGTCGACGTTTCGAAATTTGCGCGAATTTGATTCATTTTATTTCATAAAATTTTATTCAAAATTGTTTTGCAAACCTATCAGGGATCTAAATATTAGTATGGTTTGTTACTTTTTGTACACTATATAAATTTCGACGTATACCTTAACATTTAAAATTTCTCAATATTTCTTAATAAAAAAAAGTTTAGATAACATGGCCATAGTATTTAAATTTATTGACTACTACTTGCCTATTTATTTACTCCTATAATTTTTAAATGTGTTTAATTATCTTTCTGGGTCAAAATAATCTTTTGAATTTAAAAATGTTTGAACGTCGTAATTTAAAAAAAGGGTGTATCGATGTACGTTTTAAATGGGATGACTTTTAAAGTATTCGCCGAGTGACGTCACAGTTACCCCAAAACAAATTTAACTAATTAAGCTATGCTTTTGTTGATTGTCTTTAAATTTGGCTAGCTGGAATCATTTTTTCAACTAAATAAATTTAAACTTTTGGATAATACAAAGTAATAATAAAATTATGTTTAAAAGTTTTCGAAAAGTACTTCATTTATTACTTTATAGATGATGTAATATTAATATTTTATTATTATGTACTACAACAATTCAATCAAAATGGATAAATAAATAGTCAGATGTGACTGGAAATAAATTATAAAAGTGCTTTTTATAGTGTATGGAAATGTTATGTCAAAAATAAGGTATTTTTCTTAATTTCTTTTTCGTCGATTTTAATTAGACACCTGACAAAACTGCGCATATTTGAATTAACATAGCATGACAGATATAATTCTAAATTCTATAATAAATACATAAATGATCACTTAATGATCCTCATATGCCTATAAAATGTATATTTTTTTAAAACGTTAATTTATGGAGTTTCCGGTTATATATTTGAAAAATATTCTCCTTTCTAAAGTCTAAAATGTAAGTTTTGTAAATAATTGTATTTTTAAGAAAGGGCATCTTCGCAATATTTACCGAAATCCTACTTACAGAACGGTGCAAAATTGGTATCATTCATGGAAAAATTTAAACTTGGGACCAAGGTCAGGAGAAGGCTTTATCAAGTCTTTCATCTTTTAGGAAACGTTTAATACTGAATTTGTTTGTATGTACAGAAAGTAATGGCAGTAAAATTATCAATTATACATGTTTCATCAGTGCTTCAGCATGCTAAAATACTAATATAAAATTTAAGTTGAATGTGCTTGTCGGGCTGATGAGATGTATTTCATGAAAATTAGTAATATACAAGACCTTGGATCAACTTTTTTAGTAAGTATAGACGATAAAAATCTATTAATTAAGGTTTTTTTTCATATATTACAATTAGGTATTTATTTCTTAAAGTCTTTAATAATAGGCATAATGGAAGCTTGTCCGGCTAATGAGATGCATTGCATGAAAATTAGTGATTTACAAGACTGATTAGCTTCTTTAGTAAATTGGATGGATGGATAAATTGCTCGAACAAGTTTGTAAACCCTTATCAAAAGGTTTAGAATGGTTTTAAAAATCAAGGCTTGTCAAAATTATCACATGGTTTGACCTAAGTAATGCCAATGCTTCACAAACCAGAAAATTCAACGTCTTTATACTACTATCGGCTTTTGGTCTTTCGTTCCAAGTTAAATCATTTCTTATTTTTTTACGAGTTTAGACTTGTGGGCCCCAGTCTCGATAAGGTGAAAACCATCATTTTACATTAAATTACGACGTTCAAACATTTTTAAATTCAAAAGAAAGATAATTAAACACATTTAAAAATTATAAATATTTAAATGTTAAAGTATAAGTCGAAATTTATATACAGACTGTACAAAAGGTAACGTAACGTACTAATATTTAGATTCCTGATAGGTTTACAAAATACTTTTGGATAAAATTTTATGAAATGAAATGAATCAAATTCGTGCGAATTTCGAAACGTCGCCCGAGCGCGCTCGCTTCGCTCGCCCTCCTCTGTACTGGTTAGGAGGAGCTTAGCGTAATCATAAAACGTGGGTGAGAAAAAAAGGCGCGTCGACCAGGCGCGGTCGCTTCACTCGCTCCCCTCTGTAATGGTTTGGAGGTGGGAGGGGGGAGCGTAGCGTGATCTTATGGAGAAACCGTTACCATTGAAACGCTTATCATGCTAACGACTAAACAAATCTCGTAGTGAGAAAATGCCTAGTTGCCAAGTTATAGATGGTTTCATTTTAGATCAGATTGAGATATTATGTTAAGAGTTAATCTAAATATAAGAGGCAACTGCGCAGTTCCTCACCACCGGACTAAGGTTTTTGTTTAGTCGACATCACAAATGTTCCTATGGCAACGGTTTCACCGTAACCGACTTCAGCTACACTAAAGTAAAAATTATATGACCTGTAACTTGCCAACTATGCATTTTCTTACCACGAGAATTGAGTTTTTGTTTAGTCGTTACCATGATAAATGTCTCTATGGCAACAGTTTCTCCGTAACTGATTACAGCTAAATTAACTCATCTGTAACTTGGCAATAACGCATTTCCTCACCAGGGGTTCTGTTTTTTTGTTTAGTCATTACTATGGCAATAGTTTCACCATAACTGATTTTGTCCAAAATAAAGTGAACATTAAATGATCTATAACTTGGCAACTATGCATTTCTTCACCACGAGATTTGGGTTTGTGGTTACTGGATACCATGACAACGGTTGCCATGGCAACAATTTTTACATAACTGATTTCGGCTAAACGAAATTTGACCTCAAATTCCATTTAGAAATCACCAAACTTAAATTAAATTTGACATATGACATTATATAAAAGGTTACCACGGTATGTGTGACGTCATCACAGTAACCATAATACTGTAACCAAGAATGTTGTGGTAAGAAATGCCTTAAAAGTATCCACCGAGTGAAGTCACAGTTAACCCAGCACAAATTGAACTAATTCAGCTATCCCCTTGTTGATAGTACTCTTTTAACTTGGCTGGCTAGCATCATTTATCAAACAAATAAATTCATTTGATTCAAAAAGTTTTAAAAACTTTTGGATAGCACAAAGTAATTATGTTTCAAAGTTGTCAAAAAGTACATTGTTTATTACGTTATGGATGACGTAATTTTAATATTTAAAAATTATATACTACAACAATTCAATCAAAATGGATAAACAAATCATCGGTTGTTACCACAATTAAATTAATAGAACTGCTTTTTAAAGAGTATGGAAATTTTATGTCAAAAATAAGGTATTTTTTTATATTTCTTTTTAGTTGATTTTAATTGGACACTTGGCAACCCCGCGTCAATTTGTATTGACAGAGCATGACAGATATAATTCTAATGAATGTATGGAATGTTAGGAATGTTAGACGATAGAATGATTAGAATGCGTAAAATAAGTCACATAAGAAATGCATAGGCGGATTTTAAGAACATTGATATTGAAATAGTTAGGATAAACCGAAAATTCTGAAAATCAATAGGGTTCTAAGTTAGACGCAATTATTCAAAAAAATCAAAACCGCAAGTCAATCAGAACTTCCGTTCTAGAGTTATTGTGCCGGCATACATACACACAGACGACCAGACGAAATTTTTTATGCATTTTCGGACTCAAAATGATCGGAAACGTAAAAAAAGTATAAATAAATGGGGATATGAAATTTTTTTCATCTGCACGAATGCAATACTAAGGCCCCATAGAAAGGGCCTCCGTAAAAAGTGTGTATCTATGTATGTTTTAAATGGGATGACTTTTAAAGTATTCACCGTAGGAAGGGCATCAGTTATAAAATCTTACATCAGCTCGTGATGGCTCCATGCTCTGTTTAGTTCGGGCTCTTTTTTTAATATAGCTATGTTAATAAACGGTATTTCGTTCGGGCGCTGTTTCTATACGCGCTATTTTAAGTAGACGCTATTTCGTTGAGCACTATTTTGATCGGGCGCTATTTCGATACACGCTATTTTGATATGCGCTATTTCGTGACAGAGCGAAAAACATATTTCTTTTTAATATTTAATATCCTTAATTTGGGTTATCCTTGGAATTTCATCAGAATATAAAAATCATTGTCATAAAAAATAATAAAAATACATATAAATATGATTGACAAATATCAGGATAAAAAAATTTAAATGTAAAACGTAAAGCCATACACTGATATATTTGCTTATTCATTTCATACATCTGTAATATTTTCAACTAGTCAACTTGTTTTCAAAGTAGTCGCGCTTTGCTCTGTAAATCTATTGGTCCCTATAAAAATCACGTACCTATTTATATACAATAATTTGAAGGGATTTTAAAAAATATTTTTATTGTTTTCATAATTAAATAATTTTTTTTATAACAATGTATAAAGTAAACAAGAAACGAGGAAGATTCTCATCCCTTTAACAATTTTTGATATTACTACGCCTAACGTAAAATTAATTAACTTCTACCGTGGAATCTTCTACCCGTTCTCGCTGGCGAAGCCGTTGATGACGGTTCTTCTCCAGATTCACCAGTTTTGTCTTTCGCATTGAATCTGTTTCTCCTTCCGGAAGTTGTGCTTTTCTTTGGACTTTCTTTTTCGACTGCTACTGGAGCTGATTCTTCTTCTTTAGACGCTTGAGCTGGTTTGTTTATTTTATCTAAAATAAAAAAGTTTTCTTTTTATAATTCTGAACATAGCTTAAGATAAAATTAATTTGCTCCTAACACGAGTACGTTATTATTTATTTATGTAAGTAAAGATCAACGTCGGACAACTAAGTAAAGATACTTTTTTGCGAAATAAATTTTAAAATAAATTTTTTATATACGGAGTGGCCCAAAAGTCTGGAAACGGCCAATTATCTCGTAAATTACTAATCCTAATTGTTCAAAATTTGGGGTACACCTATTTCGGGATACGGAGACTTCAGATTTGATATTTGCAATGTTGCCAGATTTGCCGTTTCTCTTATATTATTAGTCACTTTGGTTTTTCAAATTCATCACCCTGTATATTCAGTGATTATTGGAATATCCTATTCAATACGAGTTCAATCATATGTAACACCTATTTTTATGTAGTCTGGAAGGTCTTAAATAAATAAAACAATCATGGAGAAATGTGGTAAACGCATTTTACCATCGATTAGGGTACTGTCAACTCACAAATGGAGCACATTTTGAACACCTGATAAAATAACCATTATGTTAAAAATGTTATAAATCTTTCAATTGTTACGTTTTAATGTAGTTGAAAATAGTTTGTATAAAAAAATTTATTGAGACAATTAGGCGTTGCCAGACTTATTTTATTTATTTAAGACCTTCCAGACTACATAAAATCATAAGTTTTACATATGGTTGAACTCGTATTGAATAGGAGATTCTAATAATGAATATACAGGGTGATGAATTTGAAAAACCAAAGTGACTAATAATTTAAGAGAAACAGCAAATCTTGCAACATTGCAAATATCAAATCTGGAATCAACGTATCCCAAAATAGGCGTACCCCAAATTTTGTACAATTGGGATCAGCAATTTACGAGATAATTGGCCTTTTCCAGACTTTTGGGTCACTCTGTATAATGGGTCCTATGATTAAACGTTTACGTTATCCGCAACGTACATGTTAGGCCAAGTTTTAACAGTAATGAGGCGAGTTCGTATGATGGAAAACTGTTAAATTAGAACATAACAGGCGGAAAATACCAGTAATGTGTTGGAAAAGTTTTCCATCATACGAATTTGCCTCGTTACTGTTAAAACTAGGCCTAACATGTACGTTACGGATAACGTAAACGTTCAATCATAGGACCCAATATCAGTACCTAAAAGTCAAAATAATCGACTTTTCGTAACGGTTATACCCTGGCTCTACAGTTAGCTCAACCATAACGGCAGCTGATTGTACAACAGGTGACACTGATGAGCCCAACAAAGAGGGCTATATTATTTGGTTGTATATAACCGTACCTGATAACAATCGCCAAAAATACAGAAAATTGGTGACTAGCGACGATCCCATTCAAAGGGATCCACTAGTATTCATTCAAAGTATTACATTTGGTTTTAGTTTTACTATTTTTTTTTCAAAATATTTTAATTAGTCTGTTTTCTTGTTACGAGTATATTTCAAAAACATAATGAAACAAGGATTATCATTATCAGTCTGGATAATCTCAATGTTTCTTCGAAAGAACAAAAAATGTTATCTCTCTCAAAAAATGTTATCTCTCTCAAAAAATGTTATCTCTATTAATTGAAATGTATTATAGATCTAGGTAAAGATATTAGAATTAAAGAATATTTTTATAACTCCCAAGATTAAAAAGATGTTTGATAGGATTAAACGATAATCTATCTATATTTATGTAAGCGAAATGCCACTTACTGACTCATCACGAGATCATAGTTTTTTTTTATATAGACATTTACTAACGGATTTTATACACAATAAACATTTTAAGGCGTGAAACGGGGGGGGGGGGGGGTAAAAGTTTGTATGGGGGCATCGATTTTTTTAAAGGTAGGAACTTGTATCTACTCATCATAAATTAATAATGACTTATTTCAGGGTTTTTGTATTTTTACAATTTTAAGGTGGGAAACGAGCGGTGAAAGTTTGTAGGGTGGTATTAATTTTTTTAAAGGTAGGAATAAAAACTGGAATTATAGCTACTCATCATAAATAAATAATGACGTGTTTTAGGGTTTTGGATTTTCAGATTTTAAAGGGGAAATGGTGGTAAAATAAAAATAAATAAAAATAAATAAAATAAATAAAAATAAATAAAAATAAATAAAAATAAATAAAAATAAATAAAAATAAATAAAAATAAATAAAAATAAATAAAAATAAATAAAAATAAATAAAAATAAATAAAAATAAATAAAAATAAATAAAAATAAATAAAAATAAATAAAAATAAATAAAAATAAATAAAAATAAATAAAAATAAATAAAAATAAATAAAAATAAATAAATAAAAATAAATAAAATAAATAAAAATAAATAAAAATAAATAAAAATAAATAAAAATAAATATAAATAAGTAAAAATAAATAAAAATAAATAAAAATAAATAAAAATAAATAAAAATAAATAAAAATAAATAAAAATAAATAAAAATAAATAAAAATAAATAAAAATAAATAAAAATAAATAAAAATAAATAAAAATAAATAAAAATAAATAAAAATAAATAAAAATAAATAAAAATAAATAAAAATAAATAAAAATAAATAAAAATAAATAAAAATAAATAAAAATAAATAAAAATAAATAAAAATAAATAAAAATAAATAAAAATAAATAAAAATAAATAAAAATAAATAAAAATAAATAAAAATAAATAAAAATAAATAAAAATAAATAAAAATAAATAAAAATAAATAAAAATAAATAAAAATAAATAAAAATAAATAAAAATAAATAAAAATAAATAAAAATAAATAAAAATAAATAAAAATAAATAAAAATAAATAAAAATAAATAAAAATAAATAAAAATAAATAAAAATAAATAAAAATAAATAAAAATAAATAAAAATAAATAAAAATAAATAAAAATAAATAAAAATAAATAAAAATAAATAAAAATAAATAAAAATAAATAAAAATAAATAAAAATAAATAAAAATAAATAAAAATAAATAAAAATAAATAAAAATAAATAAAAATAAATAAAAATAAATAAAAATAAATAAAAATAAATAAAAATAAATAAAAATAAATAAAAATAAATAAAAATAAATAAAAATAAATAAAAATAAATAAAAATAAATAAAAATAAATAAAAATAAATAAAAATAAATAAAAATAAATAAAAATAAATAAAAATAAATAAAAATAAATAAAAATAAATAAAAATAAATAAAAATAAATAAAAATAAATAAAAATAAATAAAAATAAATAAAAATAAATAAATAAAAATAAATAAAAATAAATAAAAATAAATAAAAATAAATAAAAATAAATAAAAATAAATAAAAATAAATAAAAATAAATAAAAATAAATAAAAATAAATAAAAATAAATAAAAATAAATAAAAATAAATAAAAATAAATAAAAATAAATAAAAATAAATAAAAATAAATAAAAATAAATAAAAATAAATAAAAATAAATAAAAATAAATAAAAATAAATAAAAATAAATAAAAATAAATAAAAATAAATAAAAATAAATAAAAATAAATAAAAATAAATAAAAATAAATAAAAATAAATAAAAATAAATAAAAATAAATAAAAATAAATAAAAATAAATAAAAATAAATAAAAATAAATAAAAATAAATAAAAATAAATAAAAATACATAAAAATATAATAATAATAAAAAAATAAGCAATATAAGTAATTTAAAAAAATAATTGGAACTTCTGGTATGAAAAATATGATGAGTAAATTGATAAAAACGATATATCTCTATATCACGGCAACCCGAAAACCTAAGGGACGACTGCTTTTCTCACGGACAGTTTTATGTGACCTCTTAGATGCAATCTGGTGATATTTGCAGATGAGAACCGTACCAGAAATGTGGTATACAAAGAGATTCTTAATTAGATTAATATACCTAAATATTAGAATATTCTTCTTAACTTTAATCTATAATACTCTCACATACGAGTACATACCATGAACCCAAAAAACATATCGCTCCTTTTTTTGAAAGTCGTGCTTTTTATGTTAAAAACACGACACCACGCGTGCAAAGCCGTAGGCAACAGCTAGTTTTCCTATATAATTCAACAAGTAGTTGTATTATAATCGCATAAGATAATGAACGAAAACAATTCCAAAAAAAATACTGTATGGGTAGGTTTTCACCAAAAAAAGTTATTTGACTCAAGCTTGGGTTTAAAATATTTTGTATTTTTTTAATTGTGAAAACCCATTTGCGAGTTCATAATGAAAAAATATCTTTTAACTAATCTTTATTTGCTCCTATAACTTAATTTACTTATTAATTTACAAATGTTCTGTGGAGCGGACGTGTAGAATAGTTCCACCCGGGCATTTAATGTTAGGGTGGTAGAAGCCCACTAAACGGCCACTTCCAAGAAAGATACCTCTAGATGACATTATTAACCAGCTGGACTGAAAGTCTGGCTATCCCTAGACACCTCCCAGCGACAACCAGCAGGTTTTTGACTAGTTAAGAAGTTTATATGCCCTTGGAGGGTACACAATGGTCCTGGTGAAGCCTAAGTAATATTGAGCAATCAACCCCCCCCCCACTTTGCTAAACCAGATACTTACTATTGGTACCAACAGCTTGTTCTCTTCTCCTCTTTAGAGTAGCTAGAAGTTCATCGTTGCTTCTGAAAGGTCGCACAACCCCTCCTTTTATGAAATTCTTCTTGGGTGCTTCTGTTGTCGAGCTTGTTTCTTGTTCTGGCAGTTCTTCTTCGTAGTCTTCCTCAGCAACTTCTTCCTCTTCCTAAAATGCACGATAAAATTGTTGTATTTTTATTGAATCGGGAAAATTAAAATATTCTTTACAGTCTTCTCTATTACTTTTTCTTACGCTTGATTGTTAAACGACTTCAATTAATCTAAAGCGCCAGTACACGCCATATTAATGTGACGCAATAATGGTTCCAGTGACAGGTAACTTCTAACCAAACTTTTAATAAAAACAAAATTAAATCTGACATATACGTGTGTACTGTTTTTTTTTTTCTTAATATTGTTTGCAGGTCATTTAAAATAGTTTAAACATATGTAATTGTTAACTAAACGATCATATAAATGATGCCTGTTATTTAATTACTTTAGGAATATATTTTAAAAAGTTCTTTATATAATTTAGATAAACAAAACGAACAAAACGCACTTAAAAAGTCTACTGTAACTGTAATTGTCAATGGAACCATAATTACATCATCACTAAATTAGCGTATTAAAAGCAGTTGAAATGATCAAATACGTAAAGCGCTGTTGCCAGTTCGTAACAAAATTAATGAGTAAAATTTAACCAAGATTGTAAAACTTGCTAAAAAGTCTAATCTGCAGCAAAACAAAAACACAAAAACGCTTCATGCATATTAATTAATTAAAGACCAGAAACAATAAGTAGTACAGTGATACTCAAAACTTTCATCATAAAATAATAATAATACTCTCCCTTATTCACCCGCTTACTAGTGAATTTCAACCCCTGACGCCGACTGAGCTTGTGTGGGGAAGGGACGGATATTATCATTATTTTCCGTGGCACTCCGGGGCGACTTAAAGATGACTGACGGTGCCATTTGACTTACAGGTGAGGAAAACCCGGAAACCTCACCCTCCGTCATATGGAAAGCTTGTTTTCAATATAGCCTTAGACGATTAGTTTAATTTATTTACCACTGGAGCAGCTGTGGTCGTAGTGGTGCTAGTAGCTTTACCATTAGTCCGTCCGGCTAAAGGATTCCTGCGATTCGAAGTGAGTGGCCTTGAAGGTTTTTTTGGAGGCGGCGCTGGTTCTTCTTCATAATCTGCTTCGTTGTCTTCTGCTGGTCGCGCTGAACACACAGCTACGATTGTGACTAGTCCAAATAGTATTCTGTAAAAGTGAAAAAGCTTAGTTAATTTTTCTACACCCGCTTTGTAAACGTCAAAAATCACACCTTCAAAACGCCATATTAGTGTAACTCAATTTTGGTTCCACTGACAATTAAATTATAACCAAACTTTAAATAAAAACATCAATGAATTTGACATATACGATTTTACATGTTTTAGTTTTTTCTGTATATTGTTTTTAGGTCATAAAAAATAGTTTAAAGGTATGTAGGTAATTGGTAACTAAATGATTGTATATTTGATGCATTTTATCTACTTAATTTAGGAATATATTTATCAAAGTTTAAAACCGATATAATTTAGATAAACAAAATACACAAAACGCACCCAAAAAGTCTACTGTTACTTTAATTGTCAGTGAAACCATATTATGTCATAAATTAAGGTATTTCTACGTTTGTTTATTCACATCGGATGCGTCCAACATAATTGAGAATTTTTTATCACGTGATTGATGTTATAAACAAACGCTCTAATGTAGAGGTCTCGTAGTAATAATGACAAACACAATTAGTAATCGTCGATGATTAAGGGCCAGTGCTCGCGAACGTTTGTTGCAGATGCGTCAATGCAACGATCGGAGGCGTCGAAATACATTCAATCAAGTCCTTCTCGACGCCACGTCTCAGCGGTACATTGGCGTTGCAAAGATATATTAGTTTGAAGAATTACACACGAAAGGTGGTAGAAAAACGTAGTAGCTATGGGCGATAAGCAATTCGACACATAATTATTCTAAAAGAAATAAAGGAATATTCCTAAATGATCTTGTTTTATTTAAGCATTATATTCAGTTCATCAATGAGCATATGAACATAATAAAAAAATATATATTCATATTATTTATTGAGTAAAAAAGCTTAATATGAAAGCACCTGTTAACCTTTAGTAAACGGGAACTTAAGTAATGCTATACCCAGTATTTCCTCTTCTTCCTCACAAACTAAACAATATATAGGTACAAATATCTCTTCTTTTTTTGAACTACATCCATTTTTCTGTTCTTAAGACGAATTTACTCTACCTTGTTTCGGGACAGAAGACAAGAAGCGCTGCGTGTCAATTAAAAATTGCGTTTGCGTCAACGTGACGGTAAAAAACGTTCGTGAGCATCGACCCTAACAGGTATTTTCGAGGTTAAAATAAGAAAATACCTTGTATAGTTGTTATATTATTGTTATATAGTTGTTATATATTAACGTATATGTTAACGTAGAGATATTTTAGTAAGAAACTTTTCTTAATTTGCAGTTATCGGTTATCAGAAATATATTAGTAAAAAAAATTATTATTTAGTCAAATATCAGGTTCTGTCACTCTAGACAGAACTATGTACAGATATTTGTTTCTGATATTGAAAAAAAAAACTCAGATCAAAACATAAATATGTAAGCCCAATTAGTAACACTGTCACAAAATTAATATATTAAACATGAAGGACATTTGCAAAATTTATATTTCGTTTAAATTTTAAATTCAAATTAATGTGAAAAATAGGAAAACATTTATTAATGCGATCCCTTGTCAATAATTTTTGAACATTCATTCGTTTTTCTATGATAATTGCTTCAGCAAACATCTAAAAAACATGGTGGTATTTATCACATTTACATCAGTAACATTGATGAAAACATTACCATACGCAGCAGTAAGGACTTGTATTAGTAGCCGAAAAAAATATACCGAAAAGTCGAGAAAAACTAGAGAAAAGTCAAGCCAAATTCTTGTGTACAAATGATGGGATAACTTTTATTAGATGGCAAGATACAGAGGAAGTCATGCAATTAGCAACTGTCACGGGGATCAGATAACCATAGTTAAAAGAACACAGAAAAATGGTGTAAAAGCATCTCTTGAATGCCCCGAGATCAATTCCTTTTACAAATATGGGAGGTGTTGATTTAACAGACCATTTGACTAGTCTCTACGACTTTGATCGGAAGTCTACCAAATGGTGGAAAAAGGTTTTTACAAAATGATATTGATCACTGCTGTAAATTCCTACATTATCCATAATGAAGTAAAACGCAAAAAGGTACCATGTTCCGACTATCCCAAAAAGTTTAAGATTAAAATTTAGTGTTTTTCTCTTTCTCTTAAGCTATCGTAGATACAGACACACACAAAGACACATTCAAAGATATACAGACATCATCGCGAAAATAGTCAAAACGGATTCAGGGGACCCAAAACGTAAAAATCCGTCGAAAACTCGAGGTCGAAAAAATCACGATTCCTATACTTTCCTTTTGTATGTGGAGAGGCAAGTAAAAATTAGTATTGTAATTTTGATAACCAATACAACCAATATGAAATGAAAATTTTGCATGATATTTTCAATTCAATAAAACCATCTCTAAAAATAACAGAAACAAGTTGAGTTTCGTTGAATAAAAGGTAAATACTTATAAAACGGTACAAATAACAAAAACAACTACAATATTTATGTATATTTAGCTATTGTATAGTGGTTATTTAAATAAAAAAAAAAATATTACTAATTAAAATAATTCGAATAAATACGAATCAACAATTTATTATTATTATGAACAGGTTTGCCTTCCACACGGTTTTCTTCTAATTTAATAACCATTATTGATTTCCTAGTAGTATTAGGATATTTCATTGCGAATATAAACATAGGCGTATCCAGGAAGACATAAAAGCACTTGACTTACCGACTCAATCATTAAAAGATATGAAAATAATTTTTTGTACAGGGTTTTTCATATTAATAGACCATAGAGAATAATTTAAAAATTATTGACTAAAATATAAAAATTTTTCGTAAACGCCTAATATCTTGACACAATATTATTGTATTTATATATTTACGTAAAAATCACTTCAAAGTTCCCAGTGGAGTAGTTTGTAATCGCTGGTAATTGCGAAGAATATTCCTTTTTCAGTTTAGTGTCTTAAAATAGATAAATTTTGTTTTGAATATGAGAAAAAAATATACAATACCAGAAAAACATTTTTTTAAATCAGTAACTAGGCACTAGGCATTAATGTAACAAGAACTTCGTTGTTAATGAAATATTTTGCTCCTCCTGATAAAAAACATCAGTACGCCTATGCAAATTAATGTTTTTGTTAGGTATATCTCTGTCTTAAGTATGTTCAAAAAAAACTTGTTATACAACATATTTGTACTATCATAATCTTACACAATTATGAATAAAATAGTTATATAATATTAAATTTGGAATTCTGAATTATTTATTACAAATTATTAGATGGGTGAAGAAAAGAATAAAATAGGTAGTACTTTAAATCTCACAATAATAATATGATCGATTTATAAGTTAAAATTACTTCACCCTCTGGCACACCTAGTGGATAAACAAAAAAATGTGGTGAATTATCTGGAAAAAATTATGACAAAATAAATTTTTGGGAAACTGTAACTAATAATACAAATAATTATTTACTACATTTTTTACGAATGCAAAATTAACACGATTAATTTAACCACAGAATAGATGAACACTACATAAAAGAAATAAATTGACGGCACTCTAAAGTAGAGGGGATATAAATTTCTGACCATCAGTTCCACCATAGAGGTTACTCTGAGAAAACTAGTGTGAACATAAACCAAAGAAGTAAAGAGGGTAGAATGATAAGGTACCGTCTGCGCATCCATGATGAGTGTATAAATTGTGCATGATTCAACCTTCCACTCTTACACACGTAAATAACAAGGAGAGGTTGCCCTAAAGCACAGTAAACAAGATCCAGGCTTGGCTTTGTTCATTCATTATGTTCATTTTCAGCTTTGTTGTTTGTTTTTTGTTTGTGTTGTGGCTGTTGTAAGCTTTTTTGGCATCAGTTTTGATTTTGATTCAGTATTAAATTATACCTGTTAATTATTTTCCGATGCACTATTTTATAATTGTTGCACAAAATGTTCTTAAACCGTCCCTCAATCTTGTTTACAAAATGTGCAAAAGGAAATTATGCATAGTGTTGCCAACCTAGCGATTGAAATAAAATTGATAAAAAAATAAATCTTGTGCACTTACAATATACAATATATTTGTGACTTGTTCTTGAGTTTCTTGTCTTTCTTATCTTTTTACTGGATCACTACCACAAGCGAATATTTTAATGATTTTTTTATTCATTTGTTGCCCGTTCGAGTGTGATTTTTGTCATTTCTATAGAAGAGTTGGTAAGATCCCTGTACACTGTCGCTGTATTAAATATAATTTCACTTTTAGCGGGGAGTTCAGTGCTTTTAGCGGATTCTAGCGGTTTTAATATACCAATCCAGCAGGAATGCGAAGTGGAGTGTTGGCAACACTGATTTCTATACTTTTTCAATGACAGTTATCATTCTACCCCTCTCCACTTCATTGACATAAACCACATACTTTGATTTTTGATTTTCTTTTACTATACGGAGAATGGTCGCCACATACTTTGATTTTCTTTTGCTATACGGAGAATGGTCGCACTGCGCAGCTTTCTGAGTGCCTTTTAAAAGGAGATAGAGAACTCCGCCATTTTGAACCCTTATTACGTGTTGCCTACATCTTGGCGCAATATTTTTAATAGGTGCGTTTTAATCATCCGCTTCGGCTTCGGAATTGTCGGTTTTCTTGTTTTAATCTGACAGGTTAGAACGACTGAACCAACAATTCCGGAAGAAGAAGCGGATGCTTAAAACGAACCTGATATTTTGCTTGCTGCTGTCAGTGTCAGTGAATATTATTTTTGGAGTCACAGTTTATTGCTAAAGAATCAGTTAGCTCACTCGGACCAGTTGAAAGTTCCAAAATAACATCCACTCCAGGGATACAAATTCAGGATACGCAGAAGACTGCTGTTTTATTATAGGCGGTTGTCATATATTGTATTATCTGAGTTGCGCAGTGTATAAACTGGAACATTGAGATAAAAAGTGCCGACGCAGAGTGAGCGATCTGATTCTTTTGCTATAAACTGTGTCATAGGGTTCAAAATGGCTATGTT